AAATCAATAAAAATAAATAAAAAATAATAAAAATTAATAAAAATCAATAAAAATTAAATTAATAATTTTTTTTTCAAGTATCGCATGAAAATATTTCTCACGAGTAACAAAAACTGTTATTCACTTTTAATAATTGAGATTTTAGAAATTCCAGCGAAGCGGGACCGGGTCAGCTAGTTTATAAAATAATCCATATACGATCAAGTCAGAGATACTAGTCATATCCGTGATAACTACGCACGATGAATTAAATCCAAAACGGACATTTAAAAAGAATTGTACACTCAGACATGCGTGAATTTTTCCAATGTCTACTTTATAAACATATATCGCAGATTACTCGATATTATACCTCCACGAATCATAAACGTTAAAAAAAACTTTTATGGATGTATCAATAATATTAAATCAACTACATCTGTGTCAACACACCTAATTTTTAACCCAAATTCCGAAAATTAAATGCAAATGGGATGTAAAATAAATACACAAAAAAAATAAACATATATCTTTATTAATTATTCCGTTAATTCCTAACCAGCTGTTCAACCTCTACTTAATCGATAAACGAGTTATTAAAATTAAACATAAACAAATATATTAATTCTAATTTTATATACATAAGACCTACATAAAGAAATAACGGCATTTTAAATACCTAAAGTGTGCTAATAAATATTACGAATAAGTTAATTTAAGAAAAAGAGAGTTCTTTAACATCAAAGCTATACATAAAACTTTAGAAGTATTAAGACGAATTGATGCAATAAAGTGAAAAAAAAAATATTTTCCTCGATTTTCCTCCTTTAATATTTGACAGAACTGAGGAAAACAATCAAAAATAAAACTAAAATACCATAATAGGTCGACCAAATGCTTGAATCATCGGATTTTAAGGAATAAAAATCACTCGAAGATAGATGAAGTAAAACTTAAACTAAACAAAGTACCAACTCTTGGTTATTGGTATAATCGATAAATAAAATGACTTATATAACTTATTCGAAATTTTACCAGCACACCGTTTTCTTTCGACAAATTGACTAGTTAAATAAAAATAGTATCAAAAAGTTTGATTAACATTTTTATGGCGCCGAATTTGCTCGATAAAAATTTCTAGCAAAAACGGAAATACTTTTAACGCTGGAATCCGGACTCTGGTAGAATATCCATAGGCGCCGACTAAGGGGGGACTTTCCGGGGAAAATGGGAACGTGACAAAAATACATTTAAGTAAAATAAGTCGATATTTAGAACATATAAGTCATTGAATATCGGCGAGAACTTTTTAATTTGATTTTGGAGAGGATTTTTTTAATTGGACTTCGGAGATTACTTTTTAATTGGAGTTAAAGAGATTTTTTAATGGACTTCGGAAAGGACTTTTTTTAATAATCGGACTTCTAAGAGGACTGTTTTTTTTAATTGCACTTTCTGAGAAGACTTTTTAATGGACTTAAAGGGAGACATTAAATAGACTTCGGAGATGATTGCTTTTTAATTAGACTTCGAGAGAGAGCTTCATTAATTATACTTAGGGATTTTCTCACTTAGACTTCGGAAGAGATTCTTTTAAACCACGGATGATTTTTTTAAATTTAACTTCGAAAAGGATTGTTTTTTTAATTGGAATTTTGAGAAAATTGTTTTTAATTGGACTTCATAAATGACTGTTATTTAATTGGACTTCGGAGAGGATTTTTTAATTGAACTTAGGAGCAGACTGTTTCTTTTAAATTAGACATGACTGGATTGTTTTTAATTGGACTTCGAAATAGAACTGTTTTTTAATTGTACTTCGGAGAGAACTTTTTTAATTGGTTATCAGAAGGGACTTTTTTAAATTGGACTCCGAAGAAGACAGTTTTTAATTGGATATCGGAAATGACTTTTCTAATTGGACTTGGGAGATGAGTTTTTTTAATTGGACTTCGGAGATGACTTTTTAATAGATTTAAAGAGAGACATTTTTTTAAATGAACTTCGGAGACTATTTTTTAATTAGACTTTGGAGAGAATTGTTTTAATTGAACTTCAGAAAGGACTTTTTTAATGGACTTAAGGAAGAATTTTTTAAATGGACTTCGTAGAGGACTGTTTTTTAAATAGACTTCGAAAAAGGGCTTCTTTAATTAGACTTCGGAAGTAGACTTTTTTAATTGGACTTCATATAGGATTTTTTAATTGGACTTGGGTATGAATGTTTTAATTGAACTTCGGAGATGATTTTTTTATGAACTCAAGGGAAGAGATTTTTGATTTGACTTCGGGAGAGAGATTATTTAATTAGACTTCGGGAGATTACTGTTTTAATTGGACAACAGAGAAAAAAAAATTAAAAAGATTTAAGAGAGTTATTTTCTCAATTGGACTTTGGACAGGACTTTTTTAATTGGACTGTTTTTAATTGGACTTCGCAGAGGACATTTTTTAAATTGGACTTTGGAGAAGACTGTTTTTTTAATTAGACTCCGAAAAGGATTTTTTAAATTAAATTGCTGAGGACTTTTAATTGGTCTTCGGAATGTAATTTTTTAAAATGGACTTCGGAGAGGACTTTTTTAATTGGACTGTTTTAAATTGGACTTCGAAGAGGACTAGTTTTTCATTGGACCTCAGAAATAACTTTTTTAATTGAATTTAAGAGAGGTCTTTTTTAATTGGGCTTTGGAAAGGACTTTTTTAATTGGACTTCGGAGGATTATTTTTAATAAGACTTCGGAAAGGCTTTTTTAATTGGACTTTGGAGGGATTTTTAATGGAGAGACAGTTTTTTAAATGGCCTTAGGAGAATGCTTTTTTTATTAGACGTCGGAAGAGGCCTCTTAATTGGACTTCAAAAAACAACTTTTTTAAAGACTTCAGAAATGACTTTTTTAATTGGACTTTGGACTTAATTAAACTTCAGAAAGGATTTTTTAATTAGACTTAAAACATTTTTTATATGGATTTCGGAAAAGAGTTTTTAATTAGACTTCTGAGAGGATTTTATTTAATTGGACTTGGGAGATGAGAATTTTAATTGGATTTCGGAGAGGATTTTTTAATTAGACTTCGGAAAGTCTTTTTAATTGGACTCCGGCTTGAACTCTTTTTAATTAGACTTCGGAGTGGACTGTTTTTAATTAGACTTTGGGAGAGTAATTTTTTAATTAGACTTTGAAGGGGACTGTTTTTAATTGGATTTAAGATAGGTCTTTTTTAATTGGGCTTTGGAAAGGATTTTTTAATTGGACTTCGGAGAGGATTATTTTTAAAAAGACTTTGGAAAGTACTTTTTCATTGGACTTGGGCAAGGAATTTTTTTAATAGGACTTCGGAAAGGGCTTTTTTAATTGGACGTTAAAGGACTTTTTAATGGATTTAAGGGGAGACATTTTTTAAATTGACTCAGGAGAGGACTGTTTTTATATGACTTTGGGAGAATGGTTTTTTATTAGACGTCGGAAGAAGACTCTTTTAATTGGATTTCGGACAGGGAATTTTTAAAGACTTCAGAAAGGACTTTTTTAATTGGACTTAGGAGAGGACTTAATTAGACTTCAGAATGGATTTTTTTTAATTGGACTTAAGAGAGAACATTTGTTTTAAATGGGGTTCGGAAAAGTTTTTAATTAGACTTTTGAGAGGACTTTTGTAATTGGATTTCGGACATGTCGTTCTTAATTGGATTTGGGAGATGAGATTTTTGATTGGATTTCGGAGATGATTTTTTAATTAGATTTCGGAAAGTCGTTTTTTTAATTGGACTTCGGAAAGGACTTTTTAATTGGACTTCGGAAGAGGTATTTTTTAATTGAACTCCGGAAAGTACTAATTTTTTAATTAGGCTCCGACTTGGACTCTTTTTAATTAGACTTTGAAGAGGACTTTTTTAATTGGACTTTTTAATGAACCCAAGGGAGACATTTTTTAATGGACTTTAGAGAGGACTATTTTTTAACTAGATTTCATGAGAGGGTTTCTTTAATTAGACTTCGGAGAAGACTTTTTTAATTGGACTTAAGAAATGACTTTTTTAATTGGGCTTAATAGAAGACTTTTAAATGGACTTCGGAGATGACTGTTTTTAATTAAACTTCGGGAGAAGACTTTTTTAATTGAAGTTCGTAGATTACTTTTTTAAGTAGACTTCGGAAAGTAGTTTTTAATAAGATTTTAGAAATGACTTTTAATTGGACTTCAGTGACGACTTTTTTAATTGGACTTAAGAGAGGACTTTTTTAAATGTACCTCGGAGAGGAGTTTTTTAATTAGACTTCGTGAAAAGACTTTATATTAGATTTCGAATGAAGACTTTTTTAATTTGAATTCAGGGACTTTTAATTGGATTTTGGAACGGAATTTTTAATTGGACTTCGAAAAGTACTTTTTTTAATTGGACTTCGAAAGGGCTGATTTTTTAATTTGACTTTGGAGAGCACTGACTTCGGAGATTTTTTATTTTAATTAGAATTCAGGGACTTTTTTAATTGGATTTTGGAACGGAATTTTTTAATTGGACTTCGGAAAGGGCTGATTTTTTAATTTGAATTTGGAGCGGACTTTTTAATAATTTGAGTTTACAGAGGATTACTTTTTTAATTGGTCTTCGGAAAGGACTTTGTTAATTGGATTTTGAAGAGGATTTTTTTAATTGGACTTTGAAAGGTACTTTTGTAATTAGACTTCAAAAATAACTTTTGTAATTAATTTCGGAGAGGACTTTTTTAATTGAACTTCGAAGATTACTTTTTTATTTGGACTTCGGAAAGGACTATAAATTAATTTGTCTTCGGAGGGGACATTTTTTTAATTGGACTTCGGAGAGGACTGTCTTTTAAATAGACTTTGGGAGAGGACTTTTTTAACTGGACTTCGGAGTTTTTTTAATTGGAATTCGGAGATGACTTTTTTAAATTGGACTTCGAAGAGGAATGTTTTTTAATTGGACTTCGATAAGTAATTTTTTTTAATTGGACTACGGAAAGGACTTTTTTAATTGGATTTCGGAAAAGACGTTTTTAGAGTTCGGAGAGGACTTTATTTTAATTTTAAATTTTCAGATAACTACCAGAGACCATAAAAAAGTTTTTCAATAAACAATATACATGCATAATATACAAATTCAAACGGTAACCACATTTAATTACTTACGTCATTATAAAAATAACAAATAAAAAGCTTATTTACTTAATAAATTTATACATATCAAAGACTGGGAAATGTATTGTAAAGATACGAAATTTTACAAACTACCTCTACGATTGGTTGGGATGCAACGAAGCGTAAATCGGAGCGGCCTTCGATTTCGCCAAATCGGATGCGTTTTTCGCCGCGTCTTTGAGCTTGGTCGTCGCCTTTACAGTGGCGTACGTCGTCGTGAACGCAGTATGGTGCGGGTACAAATTGGATAGGACGTAATTGAAGCCGCCAACCTAAAACGAGACCAACCATGAACCGAACGTATAAAATAGAAGTAGAGGAGGATTATTATAATATTGGTGGTATAAAATCCTTCATTAGTACACTTCTAGGGTACCCAAGGAATGTCTCCTTCAAATTTGAAGTATTTAGATCCACTAGTTTAGATTTTGCATTGCCTGTTAATCAGTCACGTTCTCAAAATTCTTCAAAGTGCTTTTTACAGTTTGGAAAAAATTAAAAATAATGTTTTTTCTAGTGAAAATTCGGAAAATAGAAGTATGTTTGTGTAATGGATTCAATGCCAATGACCATGTCAATTTAAAATCACTAATGCTGATACAACAATTTTATATACAACATTACTCACAGGGTTTTTTTTTATTGGCAAGCGTCGAAAAAAAAACGAGTTTAAAGATCTCATTAATATTCTCGAAATGAAATATTAAATTAAATATATGTAAACTGGATATTGTTAACATTAAAATAAACTTGAATTATGGTTTATATATGTAAATGCAATAAAAAGTAAATCAGTTTGGATTATTTTTTTGGACGTATAAGATCAATGGACACATCTTTATTCATTAGATTGAAACAACAAAAATGTCTACTCGAACAATTGAAGATTAAAGACTTAAAAATCGATAGCTTGGCTTATTTCTTGAATACAAGCGGTGCAAATGAACTTTAATAATTCAGGTGTCATCTAAATTTATATATTTTCTTTTACTTACCATTTTATGGCAATTTTTCTTAAACCTTTCGTATCCAAATGCGCATATAGCTCGACCGAAACCTTTAACTTGGGAATCTATCCATGCATACCTTAAGGCTACTGTTTTGCCAGGATGTTCTTCGCTCTCCGTGTATATGACTTTTTCTGTAACACTCTACAAATAAACAAAGTTTTCAGGTCCATTTTTATTCTCAAGGGAACACATTTTTACAATATAGACATCTGTCATGTGTCAACCTTCTCCCTTTCTAAAAATATTATTTACTTGTACATCGTTTGAAACTTATTTTTAAAAATGAAATATTTTAAACATAAAAAACTTTTTTTATTTTCAATTTAAATATATTTTTTTTTAATTTTAGATTCAGCACGCAATTCTGTCATATTTAAAAAATTATATAATTTAAGATTCTAGACATTATTCCATCACTATTATAATTTTGAAATAATTTTTTTTTACAAATTTCGGTTTCATCTAATAACTTGAATTGAATTTTCCACTTTGCGGTATTTTCTTGTAATAAATCATTGTCCTATGTCAACATTATAAATATTGCATTAATTTCATTTGACGAAATAAATGAAAAAGTTTTTCAATAATTATTGCGGTAAATATATTAATTTTATATAACAATAAAATTATTAGATTGTCAATTATTGTGGGAAACGAAAGAATATTATTAGTTAATGAATCAAAACGGTGACAGTTTTGTGGTTTGATTTTATTCTGATTTTGTAAATAAATAGTAAGTACACAATAATGAACCTTTTTTAATTTTTATTTTGATATTATTAGGTGTTTAATAAAGGAATAACTACAGTCTGTTCGATATACTTACGCGGGTATCGGATTAACAAAATTATGCAAATTATAGTCATTGACAACCAGTTCCGATAAGCCTCTTCCCAAGAAATTAGGTAAAATTGCCCTAATGGTCAGATTTAAATTAAAATAACAGGGTAGGTACTAAATTTGTTACAAATATTGCAGTTGAATCGATTCTTTGCAAGTGATGACATTGTATATATATTGTAAATTTAGTGGAAATTTTAAAAATTCCTAGACGTGTGTTAGATGTAGATAGTCTAATTTGTAGTGTACATAAGTATTTTACGGATGAAAAAGAAAATGGCGGTCCTTTAAAATCGGTAATGTCTGTACAACAACGCGTATGCGATGCTCTAGGAATTAGTGAAACCAAATTAAGAGGAGTATTACAAAATCACAATAGTGAACTGTCGAAAGAAGATCACCGCAAAACTCGCCCATCATTGAAAACGAAAGATATTCCAGATGGAAAGTGATACATAACTTGGGTTTCAAATTTCAAAAGGTGGATAACAGAAAGGCCTTTTGTAAAAGAAGTTATGTCGTGCACAAGAGAATTAACTTTCTAAGAAAATATTTTAAATTTAAAGAAGAAGGGGCGAATTTTATATATTTAGACGAAACATATTTTCTAGGGGTGCAACCAAGAGAATATGGTGTCGTCGGGTCTCGCTCGGGTGAAGGTCGTTTTGCCCTGACCCCGCTCTTTCGCTAAGAAGGGGTCGTGAGGGAGATATGGCCGTACTAGTGGATAATTCGGAGAGCGTAGCGGACTCCTCGAAACCACCAATACTGTGAAGCACTTCACCAGGGAAACTTCCCCCTGACCTACATTTGCCGTGTGTAGGCCGACGCTCGATGGGGGTATATGATGATTGAAGTCCCAATTCAAACGAATTGGGTACTCCCAGGGTAGGTTCGGCGGGGATTTGGCAAACCGTCGGGTTGTGTCGTTATTTTGAAAATTATAAAAATCATCTAAATTTATAGCCGAGTTCGGCTGTCTCCACAAGGTGGCATTTTGCTCTGGGGCGGGAGTAACCGGGAAAAAGCCATAGAACTCTCCCCGTGTACCGTGCCCTGAAGGAAATGCCCTTCTGAGGTCGGCGGTGAAATTATCTTGATTGTTGTGATGCATTTTTGGAATACGTTAAAATGAATTGAAATGATTTTAAAGTATATTAAGTTGTTAACTAAGTGACGTTAAAGGTTCTAAACTAATGAATTTATTTAAATAAAAAAAAAAATAAATAAATAAATAAAGAAAAAAAAATAATAATAAAAGCCTCCCTCAGTCAAGCGGGTTCGATAGGAGAAGGTGAATGTCGATTAGCAAGTAACCGACAATTCCTAGGATAGGATATAAATAATTAATTAAATAAAAAGAAATGAGCCACGTTACTAAACGGGGCGTCTCCAAATTGCTGAAAAATAAATAAATAAATAAACAAACAAACAAGGTCAAGAGAAGAAAATCCGTTACAGGTTCCGCGCCAAAAAAAAATACCGGCAAGCGGAAGGGAAATTGGCGGGAAATTGAATGGAGACAGCCCATCACTTTTAAATGGGAAACGATGTACTCCTCGTCTCCCACGTAATTAGAACAGACTCACCCAGTGTAATTATCCCACGGGGGGGCGTTAAAGCGGAGGATCGCAAGAGAGTCGAGGAGAATGCGCAAACACGGCTTATTTCTCACCACTCGCTAGAATCCTCTTTCCTTAGTAAACCCTTATGTTGATCGACTCAGACAATCGTGGGGGATGATTTTAAAACTTGAAGTAATCCTTTTTGGCTATTTGGGGCACTGACCGGCACAGAAAACGAATTTGCACTATATTCGCGGCGAGAGAACTGTACACGAGAAAAGTTAAAGATCTACTGCCGTTTTTGCGGGAAACGCTTATATTTATGTGTCTAATTTCTGGCTCCGCCCATAGGTAAAACAATTATGTAATTGGCTAAAGCTCTTTGGAATCGTTTGAAATTTGCAACGGTTGTATATTTGAAATTTAAACTATGTCTTTTTAGGATGAATAATAATGAAAAATCGATTAGAGGAAATATTAATAAGACATAGTTTGGACACGCGAATTACTTTGGATTTTTGTGATGTCTGAAATATTTCTGCGTATGTAGGTATTTCATTCGGGTATAAATGAAATACGGAAATATGAATGTTCGAAGTTGTTCCCGTGAGAAAGAGTAACTAGTCTCCGAACTTTAGGATTACTTCGTGATTGATTATTTAGTATGAATTCAATATTAAAAATTAAAATAACTTTTCTAGCTTTCGAGTACGAATGCTAGATGTAAAACCACAAGTACTTGTGTCGACGTAAGAGTGACTCTATGTGTGATTGCAAAAATGAGTGTTTGCGGATTCGGTTAATTGGGGTACTTGTATGGTGTCCATACACATAGGGTATCGTTACGGAGCTGCAACTTGGGTAAGAATTGGATCGACGCTACGGGACCCTATGACAATGGCAAGATGATAACGTAAAGTCCATCAAACATACCGATGGAGAAGAGAAGCGACACATGCAGGAAGGAAATCGGGTTTTATAGAAGGTGCCGATTTAATATTTTCATCTAAATCAAAATCCAGTGACTATCACGAAAAAATGAACACAGAAATGTTTGTAAAATGGTTGCATGAAAATCTTCTCCCAGGTTTAAGTGAGCCCAGCGTAATTATTTTAGACAATGCACCTTACCATTCTGAAGTATTAAACAAAAGTCCAACGAATTCTTGGACTGTTGATAAAATTAAAGAATGGTTGACAAAGGAACATATACCATTTCCTCAATATATATTAAAATCAGAATTATTACGGTTGGCAAATATACACGCAAAACCAAAAACCTTTGTTGTGGATCAGATTATTGAAAGTTACGGTCATCAAGTTTTATGTCTGCCACTGTATCATTGCCAGTTTAATCCCATCGAATATATATGGGGAATAGCAAAACAATATTATGACAACCTTATTGGGCCTAATGGTTATAGTGACGACGCAGTTCGGGAAACTTGGCGAAAAGCACTTTCAATTGCAACTCCAGAAGTGTGGCGGAACTGTATATCCAAGTGTGAGAAACTAATAGAAGATTGGTGGACTCGTGAAAATAAAATAAACGAAATAAGTCCAATCATAATAACAATTAATGGTGATGACCGTGATGATGATGACGATTATGATATTTTGGATGATACTGACTGATTTTTATTTTTGTTGGCAAGTTCAATTTTTTTATTTTCCATTTGAAATTCTCTACATGGAACAAATTTTTGTGTTAGAAAATATTTTATTTGAGCTAAATATCCCTCTTATTATACATAGACCATATTTTCTGTGTGAAGTGTAATATAAAATTATTATTAGGTTTATAATAGCCACTAGAGGTGGGAAGTTCGAATCTTTTTACTGAATTAATTCATTTGATTCATTCACCTAAAAAGATTCGTTCTTCAAGATTCGTTCTCAAGTGATTCACTTTAGCGAACCACGAACGATGTTATTCCGCCGATCCGGCGAAGGAAATCGAACCGAACTTTTACGAATTTGAGTACTACCTAACCTACCTACCTACTAGGTCGTCGAGTAAAATAATTATAACCAGATTTATTTTAAAGTAAAGCGAATTAATGTTTCATATTTCATAAAAAAAGGCAGCTGAATAATAAATACATCCTTGTCCGTTAAGATAAACAACAATAACACAATTTTTTTTTAAATGCCAAATATATATAGCCAAAATTAACGCAAAATTATATATTCACGATTCGTCATTTTTTGTTTTAATTTTACTTTGATTTAAATTTATTTATCAGACAACACGCATAAATTGTTTACCTAAGCTTAATACGCACCTCCTGTAAAGTGAGAAAAACATTAAAGACACATACCGCCACCGCCTGTCAGAGTTCTCGTATTATGCCGTAGAACGTAGAATAAAAGCGACCAATTTGCCAAAGCCGATGTAAAATACCAAATCTTCGAATCCGAATCGAATGAACGAAGCAACCAAACTCGGAACTCGGCATGTTCGATCGATCGCAGAGCCATCGAGCAATTGACTCAAAAAGATTCGAATCTTTTAAAAACAGGGAATCAATTCATTCGAGTCAGTGCACTGATTCGTTCTTTTTGAACGAATCGTTCGCGAACGACACACCTCTAATAGCCACATTAGACTCCATTAATGAAGAAGTTTAATTCTGCTCTCAATTATACAAAAGATTCTCAATTATTATTTAATTAAAAAGTTGTACATTATTTTTTTCATTTCATTTAACCAGTTGATATTTCCCCAAAGAACAGGTCAAACTTTTGGGTACTTACCTGGAAATACTCACAAAATTTTTAATCCGAAACCCGCGTAAGTATGTTCAAATTTAAAGGACATTAAAAATCTTTCTATCATATCCTCAACTGCCATACGTCATTCCCCTCCCCCCGCCACTATAACCAATACAATTTAATCCAGGAATCCAGAAATTTTACTGTAAATTGTGTTATTTTTGATTTGGTTTAATTTTAATATTCTAAAAAGTCAGATAAGTAAGCAGGGCCGCCGAGAACCAGGCCGGGCCCCAGGACAATTCTCTAGATCGGGCCCCGTGACAAAAAACAGCTCTTCAAACAAAAACTTAAAAGCTCCCCAACCAAAAACTTCCTCCTCCTTTCGTCTTGTGTCGAATTTCTCATACAAAAAGAAAAAATTCAGTTGTCGGGCCCCCTTTATACCGCTGCCGGGCCCCTATTTGAGTCCGGGCCCCGGAAATTGGTCCCGGCTACCCCCCACCCTCTAGTCGGCCCTGTAAGTAAGTCAATCATGGTCCTAAAAATGGCGCCGTTTTTTTCTAGTTATTGATGTTAAATTTTTGCAAGACTGTAGTTAATTACTAAGCAATGTTGCCACATATCAAACTAGAAACGTCTCAAAAAATGTTTTTGTTAAAAACTGGTATAAATTACAAACAAAAATTAATGAAAACTTTTTTAATGGCTTATAAGAAATTTAAAAAAAAATAACCCTCAAAAGGTTACAAGGTTTAGAGTACCTGTTGCGTTATATTTATATCTTTAAGAATATCTAATTTTAACGATTTAAATCCATAATATAATATGGAAACATAGTAATGCAGTTATATATGCGCATTTTCAAAATATAAACCTTCAATCAAAGTATAAATTGATAGCAATAACTAAAATAGAATTCGATATCTAAAAAAAATTATTGATATTTTTATTTTGATAGAGATTAAATTAAAAATAAGTAAGTTTATCGATTTATATCAACAATAACATAAAAAAATAAATATAAGCACATTTAAATAACGCTTACCATTACTTTAACGAAACCTAAATTTCTTGTATAGGTAACCAGGACCTTATTAACAGGATCAACGATACTCTCTTCGATAATATTTACATGTTTTCCACTGAAAAATCGTTCGGCCCATTTTGGAATGCTATTTGTTTTACTTAAAAGTCGTTTGGAAAAAAGTTTGCCTGAACGAATTTCCCTTTCTACTGTGTCTTCAGACAGTACATGTTTACTTAAAAAAAAAAACGCTTACTTTAGGATTGTATTTTAGTAAGAAGTTTATTATATTCTAAAAAATTAATACCGGTCTACAATTATTAGCGACTAATTTTCCGAAAATTGCCGAACTATCAGTGGCATACGCCTCGTGTGTTGTCGATTATCTCAAAGATAACTTTTTGGACAAAGGTGACAAAAGAGAAATTATTATATTTTCAGATGGTTGCACAGCAAAAAATCTCAAAACCACAAGTCAAACGCGCTACTTCATTTGGCCGAAACTTATGGTGTAAAAATAATTCAAAAATATCTGGCCAAAGGGCATACCCAAATGGAGTGCGATAGCGTACATGCTTGTATTGAAACTTCATTGAAAAATAAGGACATTAACCTTCCAAGCGATTATGCTCGAATAATAAAAGAAGCTAAGAAGAAAAACCCCTATGTAGTTAAAACACCAGACTTGGATTTTTTACCAACTTTAATCACAAGCCATTACTGAAGTATGATTCCATAAGGCCTGGAAAAGTAACATCAGACCCAGTCGTCACAAATCTAAGAACACTGCAGTACTTGCCAAAGGAAGAAATTAATTTCAAAATAAATTTCAACGATGAGATAGTTTCAAGCGCTTCCTCGACGACCAAAAGTCATAAGTCTGGCGGGGTACTGAAGCTAGCTGCCAGATCACGCAGCGGCCGAGGCAAAAATACGAATAATAGTAATTCTTGCTCCGATAAAATTGTTCAGTATCAGTTTTGATCCAACTCTGGAACTCAGAAGATCTAGGTGCCTCTTAGGGCCCTAAGGAATTTTTTTGAAAAGGGTTAAGCCCGTAGACTGGGCCCAAAATCTGATTAGATAAAAATTTTTCCTCAAAAAAAATTCGTTGGTGTCAATTTCGATCCAAGTCGAGGCTTCAAGAGGTTCAAGTGCCTCTAAGGGACCTAGAGAATTTTTTTGAAAAGGTTAAACCCGTAGACTGGGCCCATGTCATAAAACGTCCAAATTTAGACATTTTTTGCTCAAAAAAAATTCTTTGGTATCAGTTTCGACCCAAGTCCGGGTCTTAAGAGGTTCAAGTGCCTCTAAGAGACCTACAGAATTTTTTTGAAAAAGTTAAACCCGTAGACTGGGCCCAATGTCATAAAACTTCCAAATTTAGACATTTTTTGCTCAAAAAAATTCTTTGGTGTCAATTCCGACCCAAGTAGGGTCTTAAGAGGTTCAAGTGCCTCTAAGGGACCTGAAGAATTTTTTTGAAAAGGGTTAAACCCGTAGACTGGGCCCAATGTCATAAAACTTACAAATTTTGACATTTTTTGCTCAAAAAAAATTCTTCAGTGTCTGTTCCGACCGAAGTCGAGGTCTCAAGAGGTTCAAGTGCCTCTCAGGGACTTGACGAATTTTTTTGGAAAGGGTTAAGCCCGTAGACTGGGCCCAATATTAAAACTTCCAAATTTTGACATTTTTTGCTCAAAAAAAATGCTTTGGTGTCAGTTCCAACCCAAGTCCGGGTCTCAAGAGGTTCAAGTGCCTCCGAGGGACTTGGCGAATTTTTTTGGAACGGGTTAAGCCCGTAGACTGGGCCCAATGTCATAAAACTTCTAAATTTTAACATTTTTTGCCCAAAGAATTTTTTTGTACTAAATTTAAAGTAATTCAAAGTTCAAAAGTTCTTTGAGCTACAAAAAAGATTACAGGCACACAGAAACATGTGCACTCATGGCGCCCAATCCCCAGGATCACTTCTTGTTGCTGGCCGCCGCGTCTCCATGACAAAAAAGAAAGCATGTGAAGAATAGAAGAGTATACCCATGGATTTTGCATTAAAAACAATGCATTTTTATAATGGAATTGTGGCAATTCTAACGCATCAAATTAATTGAAATTTTAAAAGCATATTAAGAACATATAAATAAAATCTGCTCTTCTTTCGTTTTTTTGATATTTATGAAGATATACGCCTAATAATTTTTTGAAATTGGACGAGTTCAACCCGACTTTCAATTTTCTTAATGTATCTTCTATTTATTTTTTGAAAATTTTGAATGAAGAGCAATCTAAATTTCAGTTGTTTATATAACATATATTTTTTTCAATAACATCCAAATACTAGATCAGTTACAATTCTTTAATAAAAATCCTTAAAATTTAAGTCTGTTTTCAAAAGTAAGAATCCCCTTAAAGTATATTATAAGTTGTATTTGTGCCTAACTTGTATTAGAAAACAAATATGTTTTTATGCATAGTTTATTGCCACTATTTTCCCTTTGGGGTTGATAAACACCCTATTTTATCTTGGAAGTCCTTCTGTTTAACATTTATTAAAAGTGTTATATTTTCCTATCTTACACTAGAAAATATTTATGGTTTTATGTCTAGGAATCGATATATTTGATTGCGACTATTTTCTCTTTTGTATCCTACCAAGTTTAAAATAATAAAGTGGTATATTGTTAAATTAATTATTGTATTTGCAAATCTTAGTGGTAGATGCATACAGTTTTTTGAATGCCTCCTAAAATACTTACGACGGCCCTGACAGTTCGGAAATTTTCAAAAAATTAGTCACTAAAAATTGTTCGCTAAGTTAACACCAGTAAAATTAATAATTTGTTCATAAATGACCTTCTTAATGATTGTTTCAATACTACATACTAATAGGCCTTAAATCTGTAGCTTTGTGTTTTTGTCTTAGTAACAGGAACTACCATAGCAATTTTTAAAGAGCCTGAATCGTTATTCATTATAACTAAATCTATTAGTGTATCTCTACCATTTCTATTTGGTCTTGTACATTCCTCAACAATGTTTTTTTACTCTAGTATCAACCAAAATATCCTTTAATTAATAATAAAATCTCCAGAAACAATAACTATTTGAGAATTATTACACACATTTAAGTAGTAGAAGTTTATTTCTAAATTTATAATAATTATGTATTGAATGGAATAGAATTTTATTTGACTATATTGACATTTTAAATGTTTGTAGGAAATCATAACAAATACAATTTATGTAGGTACAATAGGTTTACTAAAAACATTGAAATAATATTATAATAATATACACAATAGGTTCCTGTTACTTAACTTGATTGGATAATAAAGTAAACAACAATAATAAATACCTGTTTGGATTGGGATATCGTTTCCAAAAACCTGATGCCACTTGGTCCCAAGTATAGTTAAAAACGATGGTGTCGGAAAAGAATTTTGGCATGTTGGTAAAAAAAGTGTGCAACTTTAGATTTATGTAACCTAAGGAATGTCGCCTAATACTTTGTAAATATTTTCAAAAACTTTACGTCCATATTCTCGTAGTTAAATTTTAGCACTCGCCACAATGTAAGTTACAAAGATCAAGGCTTTTTTTTTGAGGATATGTCAAATTTTCGTTCTTAATAAACATAACCACATAACCTAATTTGGAAGGAAAACAAAACACTTGACACATTGACTTTTAACTTAGCCAGAGAAGCGGCGTTGCCACGTTTTTAATTCTAGTCAGATTGGTTTCGGTTGAAAAATCCGATAATGAAAAAAATCATTATTAATTCAATATTCACACAGAAAATATGGTCTATGTATAATAAGAGGGTTATTTAGCTCGAATAAAATATGTTCTAACATAAAAATTTGTTCCAGAATTTCAAATGAAAAATAAAAAAATTGAACTTGCCAACAAAAATGAAAATTAGTCATTATCATCCAAAATATCATAATCGTCATCATAATCACTGTCATCACCATTAATTGTTATTATGATTGGACTTACTTCGTTTATTTTATTATCACGAGTCCACCAATCTTCTTGCACTTGGTTATACAGATCCGCCACACTTCTGGAGTTGCAATTGAAAGTGCTTTTCGCCAAGTTTCCCGAACTGCGTCGTCACCATAACCATTAGGCCCAATATGGTTGTCATAATATTGTTTTGATATTCCCCATATATATTCGATGGGATTAAACTGGCAATGATACGGTGGCAGACGTAAAACTTGATGACCATAACTTTCAATAATCTGATCCACACCAAAGGTTTTTGGTTTTGCGTGTATATTTGCCAAGCGTAATAATTCTGATTTATATATATTGAGGAAATGGTATATGTTCCTTTGTCAACCATTCTTTAATTTTATCAACAGTCCAAGAATTCGTTGGACTTTTGTTTAATACTTCAAAATGGTAAGGTGCTTTGTCTAAAATAATTACGCTGGGCTCACTTAAACCTGGGAGAAGTTTTTCATGCAACCATTTTACAAACATTTCTGTGTTCATATTATCGTGATAGTCACTGGATTTTGATTTAGATGAAAATATTAAATCAGCACCTTCTATAAAACCCGATTTCCCTCCTGCATGTAAAATTATGTGTCGCTTCCCTTCTCCATCGGTATGTTTGATGGACTTTACGTTATCATCTTGCCATATTCCCTTGGTTGCACCCTTAGAAAATATCCATGTTTCGTCTAAATATATAAAATTCGTCCCTTCTTCTTTAAATTTAGAATATTTTCTTAAAAATTTAATTCTCTTGTGCACGACAGAACTTCTTTCACAAAGGGCATTTCTATTATCCTCCTTTTGAAATTTGAAACCCAAGGTATGTATCACTTGCCATAGACTTGTTCTGCCAATGTCGTCAAATTTTATATCTATTAATTTCGAGAGAATTGTATTTAAGGTCACATGTTCCTTGTTGGCCCTCATTCGATAAATGGTATCACGAATTTCATATTTCTTTCTATCTGGAATATCTTTCGTTTTAATGATGGGCGAGTTTTGCGGTGATCTTCTTTCGGCAGTTCACTATTGTGATTTTGTAATACTCTTAATTTGGTTTCACTAATTCCTAGAGCATCGCATAGGCGTTGTTGTACAGACATTACCGATTTTAAAGGACCGTTATTTTCTTTTTCATCCGTAAAATACTTATGTACACTACAAATTAGACTATCTACATCTAACACACGTCTAGGCATTTTTAAAATTTCCACTAAATTTACAATATACATACAATGTCAACACTTGCAAAGAATCAATTCAATTGCAATATTTGTAACACATTTAGTACCTACCCTAATATTATTTTAATTTAAATCTGACTATTAGGGCAATTTTACCTAATTTCTTGGGAAGAGGCTTATCGGAACTGGTTGTCAATGACTAATTTGCATAATTTTGTTAATCCGAAACCCACGTAAGTATAGCGAACAGACTGTATACATGATTTCTCTAAAATGGACCGTAATGGAAAAATTTAGGCAAAAGTGTAAAATTTTAATTTTTCAGAATTTTCGCTGGAAAAGAATATATATTATAAAACAATATTTCGAGTAAAATGTATGTATTATTTAGTTCATTCTCTAAATATTTACAGCGGTGATACAGTAGATTCTACAAAATAATCGGAAAAACCTGTAATAACTAGTCACGATAGTCATGTATGGGACACACCAGATTTTTTTCTTACTATTTCATAACTTTAAATTTCTAACTTTACATGATTTACATACATAAAATTTTGAATTCGTTAGATACAGCCCAAACGTTTAGGATATGGGTTACCTGTGAAAAATTAGACTAAAGCCTACACATCTGTATGTTGGTTCAATTTGATATTCTTTCAATTATTGTTCCCAGGTTATCTGACTTGCATTTATTTGAGAACACTGCGCAAACAGCTAGTCTGAAATTAAAAATGATTGTCCAGTCTTCATCTAGAAGATATTTGTGACAAAAAAATCCCCCTAGTATTTATAATTTACATCAGGAGTACCCCAAAGCTCTGTCCTTGGTCCCCTTTTGTTTTCCATATATATTTCAGACCTTTATAAATTATTGGAGCACGTAAATATACACTTTTTTGTTGACGATACGCAACTATATTATTCCTTTGACCCATGTAAAGTAGATATAGCCACGCAAAACATGTATTCAGATCTAAATGCAGTATATATATATTTTCTATGAATCATAACCTTAAACTAAATGCCAGTAAATGTCATACAATATTATTTTGTCCTACAAATATAGAATACAACGTTCTTTTACTAAAACCAGTTCAATAATATGGTATAGGTGGAAAGGCTTTTGACATAGGGGCTCCTCAAAGACGTGCCATGGGGCAATTCCCTTTTTTACTGTATTTGAATGATATTGAGTTGTTTGTCGATTGTGACTTTATTCATCTGTATGCTGATGACACTTTGTTGGCATGTTCTGATACAAATTTAATGGACACAGTCGAAAAAATGAATATAATCGTATAGATAAACTTAACAATCCAAAATAAAATGTTTCTTAAATCAAAAACACTAGTTTTTATAACTAAACAATAGAAATGTATGATTAGATAATCGAAATAATTGCAACTATTAAGTATTTAGGTTTTCAATTAGATAATTAATTTAATCACCTGTATATCAAAACATTTCAAAACATCAAGATGCAATACATATATTTCAGAAAATTTAGGAATATAAAAAAAACGTGGCAACGCTGCTGGAAAGGTACATGCGCTTTAATCGAATTGATGCGCCATTTCATATCCAGACTATTTTTAAAAGAGTTAAATTAATGCTTATCGATATTGTATTTAATTTTAAACTCATACACAGGATTTTAAATACCGAAATATATTCATTTATATAGAAATAATTAGAAAATAAGTCACTTGTATTTCGAGTAGTTTTTAAACGTTACATTTTCTGGATAAGGTGGGAAGGTCCTATGGTGTAATGGTTAGCATTCTGGACTCTGAATCCAGCGATCCGAGTTCAAATCTCGGTGGGACCTGGCTTTTTTTTATTTTTTTTACGTAATAATTAATAATTTTAAATATATTTTTAAAGTAAAAAATAGAAATGGAGATTTTAAAACGTTAATATTTCTTTAAAACGTACTTTATCACACCTAAATTACATGTTTTATGTAATAATATTTAAAATTGATATAACATGTTCAATATTTCAAATAGTTACTAAACACGGTCCCATTAATTTTTTCATATATAATATTACTATTTAAATAGGAAAATAGTTTCTGTTTTGTATATTAATGAATTCTGGATCAATTTTTTTTAAATCTGGAAAGTTAGTTTTCAAGATGGAGTATAAATATACGATTTTACAAAGTTTACGTATCAGCCCGGGTAGCTCAGTCGGTAGAGCATTGGACTTTTAATCCAAGGGTCCAGGGTTCAAGTCCCTGCTCGGGCGAAATTTTTTTTTGTTTTTTAAAAATCAAGAATTTTTTAAATAAAATTGTAAAAAATAATGTGGGTATAATTAAAAAATTATTTGATTTTTATAAATAGAAAATTTATGATTAAAATTAATTTTATTTATACAGTGTAAAAACTTTTTTATTATCAATTTTATCAAAAAAATGTATTCTTCATAAAAAATTGTACATGGTCTAAAACCTAAAATACAACCATCAGATATCAAATTTTATGAGTCGTATACGAGGTGTGTCGAAAAAATGATTTTTGCTCATGAGTCAAGTACATTCATTTTTGATAAACCTCGTATACGACTGATAAAATTTGGTATTTGATGATTGAATTTTAGGTTTTAAGTCATGAAGAACTTTTTATGAAGAATAACTTTTTTTCATAAAATTAATAATATGCCTCTAACTGTCACAAGAAGTTGTTGGCTTTGACTGCAAATTTCTGATCATCAACCGAAAAAGATCAACTTTACGCCTTTGGTACACAATTAACTATTAAAAAAATGATCTTTTTCGAATTGCACACTTTAAAAATTTGTATGTACTACTGTTTTTTTTTTATTGTACATAGGAGTTAAATATTCTCAATAAAAATCAGTAATTTCCGAAAACTAGGTTCCGAAAACTGGAAATTCAAGAACAAACATCCAAATTCCACCTTGGAAATTATGGAATTTATTCCCAAACCTCAAGGTGAACAGCAACCAAATGAAATTCCTAATTTCAATTTTTTTATGTTCATTATCTTTAAAATATTTATTCTCGCTAGTGGGTCGTAGAAAAAATATACTGTACAACTCGAATGGATTGTGCGTATTGCACTTTATGTTGTACAAACTACTAATTATAGTATAAGTGGTGTTAGTTGACAAAAACCCGTTTTGTCAACTTCCATTTTGTAAAAAATTGTAGCAATTATGTTACAATTGTCCCCCTCCAGCTTTCTAATCAATAAAATGTAGATAATGAATGTTCAATAGTTTATGGTAAATGTTATGTTATGTTGATAATGGGGTGTTAATACACTGCGACCTAAAAGATCTATTGTGCCCCCTTCTGTCGCCACTGCACTAAGGAAATGTCTCAATGCCTATAGCGACCCTTCCAATCCTATTTTCTCAAGGAAGTGTAGGATTTGAAGTGGCTTCAAGTTAGGTAAGTCTCCCTCTTCTATTTGATATCCTCCTAGATATAGTGTCCTTGGATTCTGGAGTGCTACACATTCA